TCCGATTTGATGCACTCATAACTGGGACCGAGCAGGAACGGCCGTGCCCGTGCACTGGCACCTCGAAGAGCCCGCTCCGTGCACCCCGCACGCTTATGCAGCGTGCGCACTGCTCGTGGAACCCCGCCGGAGCGTGCACGGCCGCGGCGCGCACGTTCGCTGCGTCGCACGGCGGGCACACTCCCCGTCAAGGCCTCGAGCTCGCGCGTCGGTGCGTTCGCGGCGGTCTCTCCAACACCACACCACACCCTCCTGCACTCCGTCGCGTACGTCTATCGAGTCTCGGAGCTGTGTGGACGAAATATATCTTTGTTGCCGAGGACGACTTCGTGCATGTCAACATGCAGTCCACTGCGCGTAACGGTCCGCCGCCGCGTCCTCTCGCTGCGCGAGCTCGCGCACACGTCCGCGTCCGCCTCCCGCCGCGCCCAGACGCGTTCCGTGCGCGAGGAGCCCGATTTGAGACGATTCGTGCGGTTTTACCGGACACACCCCGACAAGACGTCGTCCTCGCGCCCTAATCCCACGCCCGCCCACCGCGCCGAGGCGCATGCACACGCCCGCCCATCTCCTATCCGTCATTCGCTTGGTGCCGCGCCTCTGCGCGCTGTGGAGCGGCGAGGACGTCGCTCGAGCGGCTCTCGGCCATGGGGCCACCGTCTGAAGATGGCCGCGGTGCGCATCGACGCCGCGTCGGACGGCTTCGCGAACCCGGCGGTGCGCCCGCTGCACCGGGGTGCGTGTGCCCTGCGAGTCTGAGCGCGATCCGGGCAGACAATATATGGCGATGTTTGGCCGATTTCATGCGATTTTGGAGAGCACACAGCCGGGAATCACACAAAATCGCACATCGCGCCTCGAGTTCGCGGCCCCCCGCGGCGTACCATCGCATGGATATGCGTGCACACCCACCCGTCCGTCCTGCGGCGAGCGCGCACGCCTCCGCGCGCTGTGGAGGTGCACACCGTCGTGGAGACGAGCTCGAAGCCTAGGTGTCCCCGTCCAAAGATCGCCGCAGTGCGCTCCGACGCCGCGTGGGACAGCTTCGTGAACACTGCGACACGCTCGTTGCGCCGGGGTGGACGTTCCCTGCGAGTTCCAATGCGATCTGAGCAGAAAATATATCGCCACTTTTCGGCGATTTCATGCGATTTCGGCGGGGGCACAGACGGAAACACCACACATGCGCGCATTCAGCCTCTCCCTCGCGTCCTCCCGCAGCGCCGAGTCGCGTGGACACGCCCGCACACCGCTCTGTCTGTTCGTGTCCAAGCATGGACGTCTCTGCGCGCTGTGGAGGCGTACATTGTCGCGGAGAGGGGCTCGAAATCTCGGTGCTAGGTTTGTGAAGATGGCGGCGGTGCGCGCCGACGGTGGCCCCGACGGCATCGTGAACACGACGGCACGCTCTTCGCGCCGGGTTGCATGCGCCCAGCGAGTCTCAGCGCGATCCGAGCAGAAAACGTTTGGCCGCTTTTCGATAATTTCATGCGATTTCGGCGGGCACACACTGAGAAACACCTCCGAACCGCACATTCCGCCTCTCCGTGGCGTCCTCCCGTGACGACAAGTCGCATGAACACGACCGCGCATGCCTCAGACCGTTTCCTGCAAGTTGCGGACGCCTCCGTCCGCTGTGGAGGCAGCCAGCATCGCGAGGACAGGCTCAAAGACTTGGGGCCGCCCGTATGAAAATATCGACGTCGCGCAACGACGCCGCCCCCGACGGCTTTGCAAACACGACGGTACGCTCGTCGAAACAGGATGTGTATGCCAAGCGAGTTTCAGCTCGATCGGAGAAGAAAATATGCGGCCACTTTTCGACGATTTCATGTCATTTCGGCCGAGTCCCACACAGAAATGCGCGTCCCGCGCCCGCCGTGCATCCTCTCACTCCCGACTTGTGTACATATACTCCTGTAACCGTGTGCGACCTCCCGCGCACGTTTGCGAACGCGTCTGGCGGGTTTGAGATGAACCGGTTTGGCGGGGCCTCGAGGTTGCATATCCACACATGTCGACCCTGCGCGCCGCCAACACATCGCAGAGCTTAGAAAACGCGGCACCGTATGCTCCGCGCCAGGGTGCACGCTCCCTGCGAGTTTCAAGACCGTCCGAGCAAGTTGAGTGCTCGTCGCTGTTTGGCAGTTTATGGGCTGACCCCGAGTTGACAGGAGCTCGAACTGCGCGTAGGGGGCCTCCCTCGCCATCTCTCGCGCTGGGATTCTGCACAGATACTTCTACGGTTATGTATCACAGTTTCGCGCCACGCTCGGACGCGTGCGGACAGTACGAGCATCGAGGATCATGCAGATGCTCGATTCTCGGGGCCGAGTTTCCAATGATCTCGACCTCGCGCGCTGGCGGCGCACCGTGTGGCTTCGTAAGCTCAAATTCATACTACAATCTCTGGTATGCATGTCTCTGATGAGTCTCAGCGCAGTCCGCGAAGAAACGCGTTTTGTCATCCTCCGTGGCCACTTCGAGGCCAAAACCACAAATACCAACATTCCCGCCCTCCCTTTCTTCGCCTGCTGTGCGCTTTTGTATACACATCCCCCCGAGCGCCATACATATTTCCAGAGACGTTCCTGCGCGCACAGAACGGTGG